AGTTCTTGAAACACCTTAAAAGTGTGGTTTTGAACTCTATATCTATCAGTTTGCTTTCCTCCATTTCCGTCATTTGTGTCCTGTTTCTTTGTCTCTGCATTTTTTTAATGCTTTTCTCAGTGTCCCAGCAATTGCTGCAAGTATCTCGGAGAGAAAGCTGCCCTCGAGTTCTGACCGCTGCCAGACAGTCCCGCTTCTCCCGTATGAGTCTGGGTCCCCAGAGACTTGCCCGGAACTGGAGCTCAGAGCCTGAGACTCCCTCCTGATTGAAAACGACAACCGCGCCCTCAGCCCACTCTGCATGCATCTCCACACCTTAGTATTTTACTTCCGCACTGCGCCTCCTCTGAGTCTCGGTATGCTTTTCTCTTTCCTTCTAGTTGTAGAATTTCCACTCAGCCAGCCTTCCTATGGTTCTGGGTTATGTCCATTCCGTCTTTTAGTTGTATTTTTGAAGTGGTTGTGCGAGGCAGCAATCTCTGGTGTTTACCTATGCCACCAACTTGGTTCTCTCCTAAGTTTATTTTTATTGTTGACACTATTGTTACAAATGTCATCATCCCACCCACCACCCCTGCTTTTCCCACCTCTACCTAGCCCCAACATCCTTTCCCTCTGGGTATCACCACACTGTTGTCTGTGTCTATATGTTATGTAAATATGTTTTTTGGCTAATCACTTCACCTCCTTTTCTCCATTCACCCCTCTCCCCTACAGCTGTCAGTAATTATAGTAAATTATTTAATAAATCATGATAAATTTTATGTAAAAAATTGTATTTTTATAACTACAAAAAAAAACAGTGAAGTGATTTTTAGTTTGAGAAAAAAGAAAAATTATAGTTAGAAATTTTATTTATCCCTTATAGTAACCTAGGACAGATTTACTTCACTTAACCATCTCCTATGCTGTAAGCTGGAAAAAATACTGCTTGAGCAGAAATCATACACTACTAAGAATATCACTTTCTGGCCCTAGCCAGTTTGGTTTGTAGATAGAGTTGGTCTGTGGACTAGGGTCCCGGGTTTGATTCTGGTCAAGGGCAAATATCTTGGTTGCAGGCTCCTCCCAGGCTAGGACCCTGGTCGGGGCATGTGCAGGAGGCAACCAATCGATGTGTTTCACATCGATGTTTCACTCTGTCTTTCTGTCTTCCACTCTCTCCAAAAGAATCAATGGAAAAATATTATAGAGTGAGGATTAACAAAAAACAAACAAACAAAAAATCACTTTCTATAAATAACTGGAGTGTCGAGATAATTTTTGGATGAATATAACTTTCGACTAAATGATCTAAATAAAAAGTGTTTTTTATACCACCAGGTCCAGAAAAAAAAAAAGGCTGATGGAAGAAGAGGTAAC